AAAAAAATAAAGAGCTGAAGGACAACACCCAGGCCCAGAGTTCAGGCCCCACGACCGATAAAAAAATAAAATAAAAACTCTTTCCTCCCAGCCTAGCTGAGGGGGAAATTATATTGTTTTGGTGTTAGGGGTGGAACCACGGGACTTCAGCAAGTTAGGCAAATGTTCCACCACTGAACTGTATTACCAGCCCACGAACGGCACTATAATCTTCAATTTTATGTTTTTGAGACAATCTTACCATGTAGTTCAAGAATAGCTTGAACTCGCAATCATCCTGTCTCAGGCTTTTGGAGTTCTGGGACTAAAGGCATGCACACCAGCCTCACATTAAACTTTTTTTAAACTTCTTTCTTTCTTCCAATTATATGTATTAGAAATTCAAGAAATAAGACTGGGAATGTGGCTTAATGGTTGAGTGCTTGCCTAGCATGCACAAAGCCCTGGATTGGATTCCTTACTACCATATAAACAGAAGCCAGAATTGGCACTGTGGCTCAAGAGGTAGAGTGCTAGCCTTGAGCAAAAGAAGCTCAGGGACAGTGCCCAGGCCCTGAGTTCAAGCCCCAGGAAGGACTGGCAAAAAAATAAAATAAAATAAATAAATAAAATCAAGAAATAGCTGGATAGCTGGGCGCCGGTGGCTCATGCCTGTAATCCTAGCTACTCAGGAGGCTGAGATCTGAGGATCGAGGTTCAAAGCCAGCCTAGGTAGGAAAGTCCGTGAGACTCTTATCTCCAATAAACCACTAGAAAACTGAAGTGGCGCTGTGGCTCAAGTGGTAGAGTGCTCATCTTGAGCTGAAGAGCGCAGGACAGTGGTCAAGCCCAGAGTTCAAGCCCCACGACCGACCAAAAAAAAAAAAAAAAAAAGAAAAAAAGAAAAAAGAAATAGCTAGCACCAGAGGCTCACATCTATAATCCTAGCTACTCAAGAGGCTAAGATGTGAGGATCACAGTTCAAAGCCAGCCTAAGCAGGAAGTCCATGAGCCTCTCTCTCCAATTAAACAGAGAAGAAGATGGAAGCAGAGCTGTGGCACAAGTGGTAGAGCGCTAGCTGTCAGGAAAAGGAGCTCGGCCACAGTGCCCAGACCCTGAGTTGAAGCCCCAGAAGTGGGGGAAAAAAAATCAAGAAATGTGAAAATGTATTTATTTACTTATTATTTTATTTTTTTGTCGGTCATGGGCCTGAACTCTGGGACTGGGTGCTGTCCCTCAGCTCTTTAGCTCAAGGCTAGCACTCTACCACTTGAGTCACAGCACCACACTGGCCTTTTCTGCTTATGTGGTGCTGAGGAATCGAACCCAGAGCCTCATTCATGCAAGGCAAGCACTCTACCACTGAGCCACCTTCCCAGCCCCTGAAAATGTATTTAAATACAGAAAACAGAAAAACCACTGTATAATGCCTTTTTTGATGTACTCAAACTCTTCTCTTTTCGTCATGGGTCTTGAACTCAGGGTCTGGGCACTGTTCTTGAGCTCTTTTGCTCAAAGCTAGCTCTCTACCACTTTCAACTATAGCTCCACTTGTTTCTTGTTTTTTTTTTTTTTGTCGGTCATGGGGCTTGAACTCTGGGCCTGGGCACTGTCCCTGTGCTCTTCAGCTCAAGGCGAGCGCTCTACCACTTGAGCCACAGCACCACTTCTGGTTTTCTAGTGGTTAATTGGAGATAAGAGTCTCACGGACTTTTCTGCCCAGGCTGGCTTTGAACCATGATCCTCAGATCTCAGCCTCTTCAGTAGCTAAGATTACAGGTGTGAGCCACTGGTGCCCGGCCCACTTCTAGTTTTTTTATGATTAATTGGAGAGAAGAATCTTATGGAGTTTCCTGCCCAGGTTGGCTCCTGAGTAGCTAAAATTCAGGAATGAGCCACCAGTATCCAGCCATGACTACTCCTTTAAATAGGATGAATGCTACCTAAGTATTTCTAAATTTGTGAAATCCTATATATATGTGATATATTAGTAATAGTTATACTTTAGCATTATAGTGACTTCTAAAAACATTTCACAGGGATGTTAAGATTTTTGAAATGTTATTATAGAAAATGTTCTAGGTGTTCTAAAGACACTAAAGATGAAGACAGTTATATCTCCTTTCACATCTAAAGTGACCTTCCTCACTTGGTTCTTGACCAGAGGCTGAGGCCTGCCTAGCATGCGTGACGTTCAATACCCAGCATGCAAGGGAAAAAAAAAGAGTAAACTCTTTTTCACCAGTAAAGTTAAACATTAGAACCTTCAGTGTCCAGCTTATGGCCTTTTCTTTACTCTTTTCTTTTCACTCAATATTGCCTCCCAACTGATGACTCTAAACGTCTCCCAATGTTCTTCAACCCCAACTCTCTCCTTTATCTCTCCTGCCCTGCCTCAGCCTCACCGGCCTCGCAGTCCTCTGAAGCCACTCTCCTTCGTCACACACTTCTAAGCATACCACTCCTTAAAATGGAGCAGCTCGCTTTCCCCAAGCAAGCTCCTCCTACTCATCCCTGGGAGCTGCTTCAAGTATCAACCCTCCTGCTGTCCCTTAAACCTCGGATAAAATAAAAATTTAAGTAAATACATTTACATATGCTTTAAAGAATAAACTGAAAAAAAGTTTTTCAGATAAATACACACATGGTCTAAGAATGAAGTTAAAAGAAAAAAAGAGCTGAGTGCTGGCGGCTCACAACTGAATTGCAGCCACAAAGAAGGCTCAGATCCAGAGGACTGTAGTTCAAAGCAAGCCTGGGGCCCGAGCAGAAAGTCTGTGAAACTTCCAACTCAAAAAAAACAAAAACAGGGCTAGGAAGGTGGCTCAGTGGTAGAGTGCTTGCCTTGCATGTATGAGGCCCTGGGTTCAATTCCTCAGTACCACATAAGCAGAAAAGGCTGGAAGTGGCACTGTGGCTCAAATGGTAACAGCTGAAGAGCTGAGGTACAGCGCCCAGGCCTAGAGTTCAGGCCCCACAACCAACACCAACACCACCACCACCAAGAAGAAAACAAAAACAAAACAAGAAAAAGCAGTGTTAGAGGTGTGGCTCAAGTGATAAGAGAGAGCAAGCTCCAGGACAGATGTGTGGGTATGCGCACGCATGCACGCACGAGCACATACATACACCAAAAAATGAAAGGAAAAGAAAAAATATATAGTCCTTGAATGATGGATATGATTTTAGCAAAAACTGCAAGAGTTTCATGGTCTGAAGAGAAACCAGAGTATGATAAGTTACATTTTTTTTTTAATTTTTTTTTTTGGTCGGTCATGGGGCTTGAACTCTGGGCCTGAGCGCTGTCCCTCAGCTCTTCAGCTCAAGGCGAGCGCTCTACCACTTGAGCCACAGTGCCACTTCTGGCTTTTTTCTTTTTGCTTCTATGGTACTGAGGAATCGAACCCAGGGCCTCAGGCATGCAAGGCAAGCGCTCTACCACTGAGCCACCTTCCCAGCCCCAATTTTAAATTCCTTAACTAATTCTACCCAACCATACTTAAGGTGTTTGTAGAAAGCATTCTGAAAACACTGTCACGTTTTCAGCCTTTTTCTTGCTCTTTGGTACTGAGGAATGCACCCAGAGCCCTGGCCATCTCAGCACAGGTTCTTCCTGAGCTGCATCCTCAGCCCCTACAACTTCTATCTTGAAAAGTAAGAACAAAATGGCGCTTTCACGGAGGCTTAGTTTATTTTTAGATAAATGTCTTTGAGAATTTCAACTGACCTACAATTAATCCCAGAGAGCAAATAAAGGAAACAAAACAATTATTCCATTTGATACTGCACGTTCTTCTAATACTTCAGAGGCTCTGCCCTGTTCTCAATTAAAACATTTGTTTTCTTTTTTGGTGGTACTGGAGGAGTTTGAACTCAGGGCCTCCTGTCTGCTAGGCAGTCACTCTACCTCTGGGCCATACTCCCACTACTAGTTCTTTTGGCTTTATTTTTCAGATAGGGTCTCAGGCTTTTTGTCCAGGACTATCTGGAAGGTGATCCTCCTACTTATGTATCCTGTGAAGCTGGGATTATAGGCCACTGCACCCAGCTTTAGAACATTCCATTTGTACAGAAAACATGGTGTTTCAAAATCTAAAACCTTTTTAAGACTGCAGATTGCTCAATGATAAGTGACAAAATCATAGAATAAAAATGGCACATTTACTGCCGAACTTGTTAAATGATTCAAATATACATGTTAACCATGATTTTTTTGCAGGCTAAACAAAACATGTTAAGTGCTAGGAATGAAGATCCATTGTAGAGTATTTGCATAGTATACAAAAGGTCTTAGGTTCAATCTCCAGCATTGCAAACAAAAAGTTAAAAAGTTAAAAGTTAAAAGAGACAGATGTGGGGCTGGGAAGGTGGATCAATGGTAGAGTGCTTATCTTGCATGCATGAGGCCTTGGGTTTGATTCCTCAGCACCACGTAAACAGAAAAAAGCCAGAAGTGGTGCTATAGCTCAAGTGGTAGAGCACTATCCTTGAGCTGAAGAGCTGAGGAACAGAGCCCAGGCCCAGAATTCAGGCCCTATGACCAAAAAGAAAAAAAAAAAGACAGATGTAAGATCATAGCACTTATATGTGTAATATTCTAAAAAAAAATGCATCATCTCAAAAAATGCATCATCTCAGTACTGGCTAAAGGAAATAGCATACAAACCCCAACTGATGAAATCTGAAATAACTGTATCCTCCTAAAACATTAAATGATGAAGGAGAAAGGCTGAGGACTGTACCATAGGACAGAAGACTAAGAAGGGGTGACAAGTGATGGCAATCTTAAACTCTAATCCAGGACTGAAAAAAAAATTGTTATAAAGGACATTATAGAGACAATTGTTTAAAGAAAAATAAGATTCTTAAAAATTTTATCAAATGTTTCATTTCCTGAATATTCTAACTGTTCTATGATTATGCAAGAAGGTATTCTTGTTCTTGGGAAATGTATATGCAATCACTTCTCAAATGGTTCAGAAAGACATCTAAGCCGGGCGCTGGTTGCTCATGCCTATAATCCTACCTACTCAGGAGACTGAGATCCAGGGACCACAGTTCAAAGCCAGTCTGGGCAGGAAAGTCTGTGACTCTTTTTTTTTGGTCGGTCGTGGGGCTTGAACTCTGGGCCTGGG